TGTGAAATAATCTTTTAATATATCTAGATATTATTTAAACCAAGTAAAATATATAGTTTACTCGTGATCTGACACAGATAATCCGGGATTAATGTACAAATTGTACTTGTAATTCTTGTCTAATTTGTCATCTCTTAATTTTATTTCCTAATAAATAGAAATAAAAAGCTTAACTGTCAGAGGATTTAAATGTTATCACATCGCGGATGTTAGAAGCAAAACATTCAAATATGTACTTTAATATTGAAGATTTTAGTAACTCTAATTTATTTACTCATATAATTTATCACGTTGTAATTGCATTGTACTCTCAAAGCTTACCTTTACTTGAGCTGGTTAATTTTATTATTAAGAGAACATATCGTTAGTTTCTTTTCCATGTATTAGAAACAGCTAAATTATCCTTGCGTTCTAGAAAGGGTTGTATCGATTAGAATTGGCATGACCGATAAAAGAGACCATTCAAGCTATTCAATAAGGTAGACCTTTGTTATATCATATTAATTTTCCTTTGGACGAAAAATTTCCGACATTATCCGCGATATGGTTCAATAATCAGGAATATTGCTTCGGCCCCGGAGGTGAGTACCCTATTTGATTGAAATGCGTGACAAATTTACATACATATATGCGATGAAAAAGAAGCGAGAAATATATTCATTAATTCTTTCGAATTAAAGGAAATTAATTTTACTCGCATCTGCTTACATGTAAATTTTAACCCACTATAGTAGGAGATGAATAGTAAACCTCTTATTAAAACAATCGCTAATTCCTTTTTACCATGCATATCATTTTCTACATATATTTAGATACAAAGAATTTGACTGTTACTTATTTTGCTTGGAAATTATTTCTATTCACGGAAGAAAATAAAACTCTTTTTGAATTCTAAGTTAATGTGCGATTTAAGAGATATGTTCCGTTGCATCGCAGCGTCAAGTGAAAATATCGTATCCAATATCGAATTGGGGCATTATGTGTACCCTCCGGACAAAGAACCACTGCCGCAGGATTTTCAGCCGTGGCATCGAAATTCGAGTGGCTACCGCATAGACAATCCGTATTACAATAGGAACACCAAATGTGGTGTTACCAGTTACTACACCGATAGCACAAATAGACTGATCCCCGGTGAGATCTCATTACCAGGCCAGTGGCCGTGGGTAGTTGCAATCTACGTTACTAGAAAGATACAGTTTGAGATAAACTACTAGTTTCAATGTGGTGGGGTACTCTATTAACAAACAGACATGTATTAACAGGTATGTTAATCGAGAAAATTCACTATTTCCATAGTCCATATATTGAAATAATTGTAAGGGAGTTAGCTTCTCGTCCTACATATATTTTCTGGAATATTTATAGTAAAATTTTAATTTTTCTCTATTAATATTAAGAAAAGAACGGATTTCTTAATTTTCGATAGATATTCACAATTCATCGAAACAAAATAAAGGAATATTAAGGTGTTTGGAATAATTACATAAACAGCATAATATTTCAAAGGCTTGAAACAATACTGACGAGCCGTTAATGATGACAGCGCAAAAACATATGTCTGCACAGAATGTCATTTCTGTTTTAAGCATAATATTTCCTCGAGATTATCTCCAGTACTTACGTTTAGAATGTCTTATGTTATTTATAAAAACGATGATCTGGGCGCTGTATTAATATTGTGCAAATATTTATTATAAATCTCTTGTATGAATACACAATTATTTTATGTCATACTAAATTAAGATATTTAATTTAATTCAAGTGTATCCCATATTTATATGATGTGTATAATACGAAAGAAGCTTACGGGATGCCTCCGGATTAAAAGTGTGGATTGTTACAAAATATAATTTATATGTATGTCTTCCTTGCAGCGGGGCACTGCATGAAAGTACACTCGAGTGACAACACTACACTACACTCCAATATGTTAGAAGTGATAATGGGGCGATTTAACTTGGACGATTTGCGCGGAAATGGATCTGCCAATCGGGAAGTCGCGAGCTACGTGATTCATCCCGATTGTGCTCACTATCTCAAAGCTACTTCCGATTTCGCGGTTTTGACCCTCAAGAAAGTCGTCGAGTTCAATCCTCTTATCAAGCCTATTTGTCTATGGTCCGGTTTAACTCAACTTGAAGACGTCATTAGTAGGACAGGATACGTTGTAGGATGGGGTGAAGATGCGTTGAATCGTCGTGATGTCAACGATCAACGGATGGTGAGGGCGACGATAGTGAGTCACGTAAGTAGTTAATTGTTATTATAAAAGTGCTATTTATTATATATATCTGTGACAAATGTATTTGTCAGCGTTATTGTAGACCTCGAGTTAAAGACAAATTTGTTTGGCAAATTGCAGGGTACCTGTCTCTGGTCTGATGCTAGATACTTTAGTTTCGTATCGGATAACACCTTTTGCGCTGGCAACTTAGACGGATTTACTCCTTGTAACGGTGACAGTGGAAACGGGCTGATACTTTTGAATAATATCACGGGCAGTTATGAATTGCGTGGTGTTGTTTCGCGAACTGTACTAGGTGAAACTATGCAATGCGATCCACAAAAATACGTCGTTTATGTTGATGTGGCCAAATACATACCCTGGATTCAACGACATATTTCGACGTAACGTTCGTCTTGCGTTGCAAAATGCTATACATGTTAATCGATATGCTTCTTTATGTAAAGTTTATTCGAAGACGCCATACATATGTACAGTTACGCGTGAGGATTAAACAATCATGAATTCTGTTTTTGGTTATTCATGTCTCTTGTAATGTGTTTCCAATCCGAATACGAAACATAATGAATAAGCTACCATACATATAACTATCTATCATATTGGACTTCTTAATTATGAAGAATATTATAATCATGACACATGTTACAATATGTATATCGATACACACATTCAATACTTGGGAAATATGGAGAAAATGTTTTTACTCGCATGTATGTTACATTTGTAAGAGTTTAAACTTCACCCTTCTCCCTCCACGCCCGTAGTCTGCGGTTTCTTTTCTTTTTTCTAGGGAGGATCAATTAGGAAGGGTGTTCAGTATCAACACGAACAGTATTCGTGTTCGTGCTGTCTTTTCGCGTAATGAATAGATTGTGTTATTCGTAAATGTATTGGTTTATTCGGTCTTTAAAATACGCCACAATTTCACAGTGTCTCGCACTCGCGATAGAGATGTCCGCGACGACGTCTCGGGGCTGTTACCCTGGGTCGCGGACGATTCGCATGTACGCACTTAAAGTTTACTTATCGTTTGTCGTACCGATAAGTTATTGGCCCGGCGACGACGTCTCAGGGCTGTTGCCCTGGGTCGCGGACGATGCGCGTGTAACGCACTTATTGATTTTGTTTATCGTTTGTCGTAACGATAAGTTATTGGCCCGGCGACGACGTCTCAGGGCTGTTGCCCTGGGTCGCGGACGATTCGTGTGTTCGGTGACGACGTCTCAGAGCTGTTGCTCTGGGTCACCGTTGCGGATGCTGCGATTCGCGACTCTCACTGACTCGATCACGATTGATTTCCTCGATATTCTCGACGCGAGTATGCACGTAGGAGATCGTTCTGTACTGACTTCTGTACTGTACTGTGTAGTCCCGGACCATCGCGCTCGACTATATGTACTGCGATCCCCCGCCAAGATTCCAGGAAGTTTTCCCAAAATCTTATTGGTGGGCCCTTAGGTCCGCCTATCGATCATCGATCAGCGGCTCGCAGACATCGGAGAAAACAAAGGGTGCGGGGATTACGGAAGCCGCGCGCCCGAGCTCACCGGCGCCGTACATGTTCGAACTCGCACCGCACGTCGCCCCTAATCTTGTAAACAAGATAGCGTGGATGCGTCGACAGACGGTCGCCGGTGTCGATGCGTGCGTTCCGTGCCGCTTATGTCATCGTCCTTTGTTGGGCCCATCGCATGTACATACATTGCGTCGTAGAAACGTCGCGCACGACCCTTCTACGACGCAACACCGTCCTTCCGTATCCCTCCCCCACGTGCACGACAGAGTAAAGTTCGACTTTTATCATGGGTGCATCGCATGTATGCGCTGGAACGCGTCCATCGTGTCCGACTCGTGAGAGACGCTACGCAACAAAGGGCTAAAGCGATTGGACGTACGACACTTCTCGTTATCAGGATGACTATATATATATGTATTTGAGTTTTCACGGATTCGTATTATATCGAGCTATTTTGCAGGGCTCACCACTCGCGACACGTAGGTGCTCGCCCGACAGTCCTTCGTCGTAGTCACTCATACACGTTCGCGATTTTTCCTCGCCCGCACGGTCCGCAGTCCCTCGCGACCTGCTCTCTATATCGCCGTTTTTCCAGCTTCGCCGGTTCCGTGTGTCCTCTTTCTCGACCAATTTGGAACTGCCCCTCTACGTGGCTTTAGCGCCTCTAGTTTCCCTTTCTACGTTAGAATCTAGGTCTTAAACGCTAGATGCCGCCTAATTTACGCTTCTGTAGCTTACAGTTTCGGCCATTCTGACATTTCGTTCGTCCTCGAACGCAAGGATCTCGACACATAAACAAAAGAAATGACTTAGCTTATTCGTGCTTCCAATAACAAAATAATAATTAGGAAAAATACAACTAATAGAACAAATTCTTATATCTACTTAACTTATACCCTATGTTGCGCTTTCGCTCGCTTTTGGATCCGCGACTCTTATCCACGGCTTAATTTTATCCGATGAGAGAATAGTGTTCAGCGGCTTCTGCGACAAATTGTAACCTGGTATATCCGTTACCACAAATCTATTCTTTTTTAATACTGCCTTAATTCTGTATGGCCCTTTATACTTTGGCAGAAGTTTTTGGTTGACTCCAGGCTTATGTTGCAAAACTCGTGCGAACACCAAATCTCCCTCTTTATATCGTGTGGGTTTCTTATGTTTCTTATCGTACTTTGCTTTATTGTATTCCTGAACAGCTTAATTAGCACTATGCGCCGAATCTCTAATTTCCGCACGATTGCTTAGTAGATCCTGATCTATTTTAGTTAGTTGTTCTATAAAGTCTCGCAATTCCGCATCGTTTTGTTGACGCTGATCGTATCCTAGTAATACTTTACTCGGGGTTGTATTTATTGATTTATGCAACGTATTATTTAACACAAACTGTGCCTTCCCTAATATTGTTTTCCAACTAGATGGGTCATCGGTATTTTTTGCTAAAGTCGATCTTAGGAAACGGTTCACTCTTTCAACCTGACCGTTTGCCCACGGGGATGCAACTGCGACCATTGTGTGTTTGATCTTTCGTTCGGAAGTAAATGACGCGAAATTTTTAGAGGAAAAGGCTGTACCCCTATCACTACGATACGTTCGGGATAGCCATATGAATCAAAAAGAGTAGAAAAACAATTTATTACCTCATCCATGTTCGTCGTTTTCGTAGCGAACCGCCAAACAAATTTTGTGAATGCATCTACGACTACTAAAATGTACTTGAAATTGTCACTAGTCGTTTGCAGAGGCCCGTAATGATCAACGTGTAAGATATGAAAGGGCGACGCAACCTTTTTGTAAAGTTCCATTTCCCCTTCCTGTTTACCGCTTATCAATGAGTAACTTAAACACTTCACACAATTGTCGATATACTCCTTAACTTTTAGCTTGAGGCATGGAAACCAGTAATGACCTAAAATAAGATGTACTGTTTTATCAACTCCTATGTGGCCTAGCTCGTCGTGATAAATTCTGATTATGTTATTTATCATATTCTCAGGTACTACAAATAACAGCTTTTCTTGATGTTTACGGAAAATTAGGCCTTCTACTAGAGTAAAGTATTTATGGTCATTAACCTCTAGATCCTCCGCTAGTTCCTTTAACTTCGGATCGCTCAGCAGCTAATACATTAATTCATCCTCTACGGAAACGCTTCCAATAAACATTATATGACGGCTAAGACAATCTACGTGAGCCATTCTATTAGAACTCCGGTGAATCAATTCGAATTTATAATTCTGAAGTGTTAGACTCCAACGCGCAATTCGAGGATTGATATTTATTTTTTTCATTGCTAACACCAACGAATTGCAATCGGTGACAATGCGAAATTTTATTCCTTGTAGATACATGTGAAAACGCTCGACTGCTTTAACAATAGCCAATGTTTCCAGTTCATAACTATGATAATTTTTCTCGACATCCGTCGTCGCTTTACTGAAATAAGCTATTAGTCCTAGTTGACCTTTACTTTGTTTTCGTAGCAGAACTGCTCCGAACCCATGACTACTCGCGTCCGTATGCAGTTCTGTTTCAGCAGATGGGTCGTATATACATACTTACCTTTTTAAAAAAAGGTAAAAAAAGCACCAAGTATAAGCTCCAATTCAACCAAATATATTTTGTTACTGTATCTTTGTTGCAAAAGTATATTCTGTACAAAAATATCTTCTCTACAAAAGTAATGATACCAACAAATTGCGCCAAATATAACAACGGATATTTATACAAACTAGTTGCTTTAGTATTA